GCCACATTCACCCAGTTCTGTACATTAGGAATAAAAGTACAAGAGATATTGTGCTCACTCTTGATGTAATCCCTAGAGCCTTGAAAACAATACTTGAAGAGGATTTATAGGAGATTCATGTTTAAAAACAAAAAAGGAAAGAAAAGAAACCCTATCTTGATAAAAAAAAATTGTTTCAAGTGCATATATTTCTTGATTTCATTTTCAGAAAGATGGCTATTTATCTAAATCAGCTGTTTTATTTGGAGAAATCACCTATCCAAGGAGCACATTTTGTTTTTCATTTTGCTGAAACAGCATTTTCTAGAAACAATAAAATCATGTAGGCATCAACAGACGACCAGAGTATACCCAAATTGAAGATTTGTCCTTGATGAGTCATCACAATTCCAGGCTATTTTAAACCAAAGTTTCACATGCCAAATTTCTAGAACTTAAGGCTCAGTTTGAAAAGAGTACAAAACAAATATGTACGGTACAAAACTCTTTCCAAATGGAGGTTAAGTTTCAGAGAGAATATTATAGTAACAAATGCTAAGCTCATTATATGCCCAAAATGATTAATCTCACTGAGTGGAAGAGATATAGTCACACCCATGATGATATTTGTTTACAGAACATATACATACCACAGGATAGAGATCTGGGAATCACTTAAAAAGTAAGTTGAAAGCAGACCTTTTTTCATTAACGCCAAGGAGTAAGTACATACGGTATGAACATGAGACTGCAACGATGTTTCACACTGAGGAAGCAGGGGGGTTATCCAACAAATAAGAACAGTACATTCACGAAAAATATATACAAGTTGTTGCTGATGAACTATCATGATCAAACCTCCTTACAGAGTCCAGTCCTGGTGACTAAAATTTCTTTAACTTACCCCCTAGCATTCCATTTATAACGATTGCATCTGCATGTGCATCTTCTGCAATTTGAAGTGATGAAACCGCCTGTGCTGCAATAAGTCCTGCTGATGTCTCAGTCATGGATCGAGCTCGACCTTTCTCATCAATATATGGTGAATGGAGATCTCTTCCAAAAACCCCAGGTGACAATGACCAGCCACTCATCCCCCAATCATTCCACTTGAATCCAGACCCACAGGCATCGGGCATCCAACCCAACCCTTCAAGGGAAGGCTTCATAAAACCCTGATGTGGAAGGCCTGTTCTCCATCCTTCCTTGAACAGGCCATTATTAGTTTTATGACCCCATGGGTTGAACGCTTCATCCCTTTTCAGCCCAATCTCACATGAATCGTCAGTATCTTCAGCAAGGACATGTAGAGCTACTGCCTCAGCTATTGCAGCACCTTCTTCATCAAGCCTCTGCTGCTCTTCTTTCTTTTTCTGTTTCTTCTTTTCTAGTTCTGAGCGAATGGCAGCTGAAGTCGCAAGTGCTTTCTCCAGGCGCCTCTTTTTCTTTTCAGCCTGTTTGAGACGATCCAGCTCATATTTTGCCTGCTTCTTCTTTTCTTTGCTAACAACAGTTGGCACTTGAGCGTAAGCCATATTATCCACAAGGCTTTCTTCAGCTATTGCAGCACCTCCACCATCAAGTCTCTGCTGCTCTTCTTTCTTTGCACCTCCATCATCAGGCTTCTGCTCCTCTTCTTTCTGGTTCTGTTTCTTCTTTTCTAGCTCTGCCCGAATGGCAGCAGAAGTGGCAAGTGCTTTCTCCAGGCGCCTCTTTTTCTTTTCAGCCTGTTTGAGACGATCCAATTCATATTTTGACTGTTTCTTTTTTTCATTACTAACAACAGTTGGCACTTGAGCGCAAGCCATATTATCCGTAAGGCACTAACTTCTTTAACTAACCAATCCTTTCCTGTAAATCTTCCCTTCTGAAGAGATCAACTAGGGCAAGTAAAATGTTGTGTAACCATCTTCTATGGAAAACAAAATTCTCTGTAAATTTCTAAACCTATAAAGTAATATAACATCAACTGTCCTACGACTACACCCACTCAGGTCTGAAGGAATATCTCCTTTTACGAACAATACAATCCCAAACAGAAACCACGGGAGATAGCAGAAGAGAAAATTGATAAGCACTAGAAGATACATCCCTCAGCACCATTCTTCCCAACTTTCCGCATCCCTTGCATTTGCCCATTTTGGTACGGAAACAGAACCAACAAGCAAATTGAGATTATTAAGTCAGGGTAGCACCTTGATCAATCAGTTCACATTGGGATCGTCCACTGAAATGGAAGGAAAGAATTTCAAAATGTGAGTCATCTTCTACAGTATACCACCTAGCAGGAAAAGAAAATCCAGTGATTAAAAAAATCACAAACAGACAGAGTCACCCCATGAGTCACCCCATCCATGTCCTGGCAAAGGACAAACCCTAGTTGTAACTAGTAACCGCTACAAGAACTAAGAAATAATTGGCAGGCTCCAGGCGGTATTTAAAAAAAGGACAGGTCCAGCAAACTTCAAGCAAAACCACAATAGAGACAAGATAACCCAATAGGAAGCGTACCAGATCGCGAATCGGGAAAAAGAACAATGAAAACCCCCAAATGGGGTCCAAGAAAGTGCAGAGATGAAAATGCAGGGGACCCCTAATTTTATAGCATAGCATCTAGAGAATCAAAATCGTGTGATGTGAGAGAGGGAGAGTATTCTATTTGATCCTCAAAACCCGAAATTCGACCCACCGGGACTGTGATTTCTTTTGGCAATGCGATCCGTGAACAAGAATTAAATGCTTAAAATTTCGATTCAAATCATAAAATCTTCTAACGGAATGGTCATATTCTTCCATTAGATCCGTCAAGAAAAGGGACAGACAATGAGAATGGATTCCGATCCGCTCTTAACAGAGATCGAAACATCATATTCGAATGAAAACAATCAACTATATTAAAGAAAAGAACGGTTGGCGGATTGGATCAATAAAAACAATTTGAAAAACCAAAAACGGAAAAAGATCAGACACCTTTACAATAACAGAAGAGATCACAAAAGGCAAAGGGAGAGAAGGAAAGAAGTTGAGAGAGAAGCGTACCTGATAAAAATGGTAGAGAGAGGGTTTCCAACCTTCTCTACCTTCATATTAAGCGGAGACAGGCAGATAGCTTAGATTCTGGTTATCGCGTTATCTGTTCGGATCTGCTACAAACCTAATCTGCATCGCCACAGCCAAGAGAGAGAGAGAAAAAAGAATCCGAGACCAAAAGGGAAAAGAGGGAGAAAGATAATGGCATCATGAAATAGGTATGAACGGTGACCGGAATACCGGATGACAGCTAAAAGGTCTTTTATGTCATTTCATTTAAGAACTGAAACGACCAGACGCGTGTCAGTTAATGATTTTATGTATCCGTAAATCAAACCCCCTCACGCGTTGACATGAGAAATTGAAATTCAATGTTCCTTTTCTGCCTTACTCACTGCTCACTTCTAGTTCTCCTGTTCTCGCTACCGCGAGTTGGGATCTGCTCGAAACACGCATCCAACATGATCTCTGCCACCGGCCCACCGCACATATCAGGTGTTGGAACGTGTTTAGTTGGGAGCAGATCCGGACTGCACTCCCACACCACTTTTCTTTCAAATGACGACACAGTAGTGGTTGCAATTTAATCGAGCTCTAATCCAATAATTTAGGTTAGAATTGGATTAGGATCTATTGGATTAGGAGCTCTAATCGAGCTCCTTCCCAACTAAAGCATTAGGATAAGTTTGATTAGTTATTCGAATTCAAATTCGACCAATAAAAAGTTTGGCTCAAAATTTGACTTGATTATAATATATATATATATTATTATAATATAGAATATTTTCATATTCTATATTTCTATATATAATATAATAATATACTATATATTATAAAATATAATATATATATATAATATATAAAAATATATTCATTTTTGAACTTTTGAGTTGAACTGGATTTAATTGGATATTTAATTTAACTGAGCTTAAACCAGAAAATATAATTCAAATCAAGCTCTACCTCAAACTCAATCTTGATAGTATTTTAGTTGAGCTAAGCTAAGACATGCTAAAGTTCAACTCTTCTAGCTCGATTGCACCCTTTCACAATCCAATTTCAATTTTTCAAATCACCACCAGACTCAACACAATAAACATTTCATCATTAGCAAATTCCTACATATTTGAAATCCCATGCATTATATTAATGTAAATTAGCGGGGACTTGTGCGATCTATGGGATTTGTTAAGAAAAGCTAAACAATAAAATACACCGGAGTATACAATTGTTTTATATTTCTAACTTTTTAAATAATTATTAATTATACCTTTAATAACTTTTTACAATACAAAAAAAAAACAATAATTTATTTTAGTTAAGCTTGTCCATCGAACCGATGAAACCAACCAACCCGAATTGCTCAGTTTATAATATTTCCAGTTGAAATTGGATCAGCTTCGCAATGGCAATTTGTAAATTAACCAAAATCGAATGACCTAATCACAAATATATATATTAATATTTTTATATTTTAAATATAATTTTTTAATACGGGAAAGTGGGGAAATTCCCATATTTCTTAGTCTGAATAATAATGAAAAAACACAAAAATTTAATTAAAAATCTGAAAATTCTGAAAAACCTAAAGCTTAATCAAAATACTAAAAATAATTAAAAAAATTAAATTAATTGTATTTTATTGAAAAAAATAATAGTAATGAAAAAATAATGCATTTTAATTATTAATAGTAATATAATTAACAATAGTTATTTTTAAACTATAATTAATGGTAATTATAATTTAAGTTATAAATAGTAGAAAATTACATTTAATTAGTTTTAGCCAAGAAATTAGCAATATTTTTGAAAATATGATAATTTCCCAAAATTACTATATTTTAACTAAATATAGTAATTTAATAATTACAATATTTTAATAATTAATAAAAAAGTAACAAATCATTCATAACTTAAGCAACTATTAGATCTATAAGTTTGCAGGCTCAAGCAACTATTTTCTTTTGAGTTAGGTCTAATTGAGATATGTGCCATGCCCACACATTATCAGGGATAATCAAGTTCAAAGTCTAACTGGGTATCAAACTTTTAGAGTTCAATGAAGGCTTTAGCAGATAGGGCCCAAGCTAAATAACCCCTAATAAGCTCAATTTGGAAGTTATATGCATATATGGTAAATATTATTATATAATATTTAAATAACAAATTTTATATTAATATATAGAAATGTTATATAACTTTTTATACTAAACTAGAATTAAATAAAAATTTAATTTGTAAAAGTCATAGTTTTATAATTAACATGGGTCTCTTTATCAACAGAAAATGTGCAAGCTCGAGCTCGACCATTGGGCCTAGATATTGAGCCCAAGCCCAACCCTTATATAAAACCCAAAGCTCGAGCCCAAGCCCGATCTATACACAAAATGTTTTATTTTCAGTATTCTTTTATAAAGTAATATTATATTAATTTAGTAATAATTTAATAAATTAATAAACTAATTTATATTTCCTGATAGTAAATTGATATTTATTAATAATTTAAGAAGCATACATATATATATATGTATAATTATTTATTATATATAACATAAGTACTTTTTTATATATGTAATAGTATCGGGCTAGGCTTATTTGAGAAAGCTTGAGCTCAAGCCCATGGGCCTAAAATTTTGTACAAGCCTGAAAAATAACGGGTCAGGCCGTCGGGCTACCCGGCTCATGAATAGGTCTAATTGTATATATAAACAATTATATACATTAAAAATCATATGAAATAAAAATTTAAACATCTTTTTCAATTTTTTCTTTTAAAAATGTACCTCTCATATAGCCTGGCCCAGTCCACGGCCTGGCCTAGCCCAAGGCTTGACCCATGGACCAGCCCAACCCACAGGATGGCACGAGCCCATCCTAGGGGAAGGAGGCACAACCCAAGACGCCCCATGAGCCAGCATGACACGATCCACACTTTGTGTGGGCCACATGCGGGTTGTGCTGTGCCGGCCCAGCACGACTTGATTTATACCTCTACCCGAACCTGCCCAATACTTGCGACGGGGCAGGGAAATTCAAGGATTCCCCATCCTTGATGAGGAATGGGGGGCCTTGCCCCTAAATTCGCCCGACATTGGGGAGTGGTTGCCTTGCCTTAAACTCGCCTGATACTGGGGACGTGGCGAGGATGGAGTAGAGTGTCTTGACTATGGGGCAGGGACAGGGATGGGGTGCCCTGCCCTGAAAACAAACCATTGTCATTCCTATATAATTGTTAATTATTAGTGAAATTAATAAAAATGTTAGCTTTTGTAATTATTTTTCTTTATTTAAAGTTAATCAAAATTTAATTTAAAAATAATAAAAATAATATCAATTATTAAAATTACTACAAATTATTAATAAAACTAAATTTATTAAAAAAATTTTATTCATATTAAATTAACAATAATTATTTTTTGTAAATCAGCATTAAATGAAAAATACAATTGTTAAAATTTTAACTATTAACAATAACTCTGAATACTTTTAGTTAATTAACAACAAATTTTGATTATTAATTTAATATTAATTAATAGTAAATAACCAAAAATAAAGTACCAATAATTTTGTCATAATTACTAAAAGTTATCCAAGAAATTACCACAAATGGGTTAACATGATTTCCAATAAATATGATAATTTACCAAAAAATAAAAAATATAACCATTAGAATTACTTTTTGAAAATATGTACTAATTATCAATAATCTTCAAGAAATAAATGTAATTAGTTCATGGTGTATTTAAAGTGCATATATTTTTTTGTATAAATTATAAATTATATAATTTAAACATTATGTAACATCATAATATTACAATGGAAAATAGAAAAAATGTATTTATTATTATGTATTTTCATTATTTTACAGAGGTCATCCTCGACTTTGCTATATATTCCATTTCCTTTGAAGTACATGACATGCATCATTGCTGACCTATGTGGCGAGTGGTCATGTGCCACGTTATCATTCTCCTTGCTGATTATGTCGTGCAGCTCACCACATGTTATCCACGTAAGCATCCACATGACAATTCAAGTGAGGTGGTTAAGGCCCCCCCCATGAGATATATATCTCGCTCAACGACCCCTTTGACCTGTTCATCAGGTCACAGATTGACCCATTAGCCTGGATGGTTAAACTGCTGAGTATTGTCCCTGATGGAAAAAAAAGGGTAAAAGACTTTGGACCTCCCAAGGTTTCTCACAAATACTAATACCTCCCCTGTTATTTCTAATAGGACTTAAAACCTTGTGAATAAAACGTGACAACATATTTGACAGAATCAATGAAAATACTATTTTATCCTTAATTATTGTTCAAATTTTTAAAGAGAACCACTTATACTGTAGCAATCTAACTATACAATTAACTCAAATTAACCAAAAAGAATATTAGAGCTTCCCCAAGTCTCTAACCAGACGAGTAGCCATGCAAAACCAAAAAGGAATTCCATTTACCTGCATTTTATGGGGAGCAATATATGAAGCTCAACCATGAATCTTGTAACCAGAAAGTTTTGTCACCAAAACCAAAGACGCTGAAGTTTTAATATTGGATAATAACAATGTGGGCGTGGCTTTAATTCATTTCAATAAATCATGTCCAAGGGAATAAATGAAGGTCCCATTCAATATTCAATGAAAGGGAATAAATCATGTCCAAGGAAGCCAAATATTTGAAAATACCCAATACAAATACAAAAATAACAGCACAAAAAACATAGCAATAAAACCTGAGCTTATGCTTATAAATGAACTAGAAGCTAGGTCTCAGTCAATAGAAAGACCGGTTTCAGAAATAGAAGAAAACCATTCAAGCATATATATCACAAACTAGATTTTTGGCCACACGATGACCTATAGAAGCTACACGGCGAGAGCTTGATTACCACCATGCCCAACAAAAGAAAAGGAAATTTTCTTGTTTTTTGCCATCTATAAAGTGTCCATGAGCTAGCACATAAAATAACTCTCTGTCTTGCAATCTTTGTCCGAAGAAACATCAAAGATCAAATTCTCACAGTTGTAACAACATTCAAACTACAACTACAATGTAAAATCTGATTAAAATTTAAGACCACTTTCAGATAATCGATAAAACTTCCATTATCATAAAAAAAAATCAGATAATTAATCTATCTGGAAAGGACAAGATGCACTTAGCCTTATTCCACAAAGGGAGAAAGTACTAGTTATGCTAAAAGAAACCTTGATGCTGTTGAGTTGCAGAGCTACAAAGCTGTTGTTTCTCCTTGACATTGTTGATCAATAGCTGTAAACAAGGGAATTTTGCTGGTGTTTGAGGGCAATAAGAGAATTTCATTGGTGTTTGGGCTTGATGGGTCTGACCTGTAAACAGGAGAAGAGTATACATTAGAGGCTTCGGGTGTTATTGATCCCAGGGACAAAGACCTCGACGGTCAAATTAGCCAAGTGCAAAAGAGGAGTTGGACCAGACTAACAAGGGCTCAGAGCTCAACCCTAAAAAAGTAAGGATGATTTTCCTGGGATTCTGAATGCAAGAGAATAAATGTCTTTACCCTGAGATGAATACTCTTTTTTACAGTTGATCTTGCCTTGGAGTGGTTGATGATATACGGCCAGGATTGATTTGACCGATGCCACATGGCACAACCTGAGGCCTGCCAAGTATTCCTACATCAACTTCAATATAATAATCATTTTAGGTAGAATAAAAATGAAGGATCGATAGATTTGGTTCCTTCAATTAGATTCATAACACGATTGACATGAATGTTCATGTTTAATCACACGCCTTTTGGTTTTTGTTGATGAGCACCGGGTTGCGGGTTGTGAACAAAATTGGTAAAATGGGATTATGGTAAAATTGGGTTTTTGAAAATTTTTAATAACACGTATGTCACATTTTAATAGATCTTGACAGACTGAACATCAGCAACAAGGGAAGTCTTACTCCAGAGCTTTCAAGGTGAAACTTAAAGGAAGGTTTAAGTCTTTTACCAAAAACACCCATTGAGTATTTATTAACCTCCACGACGGATTTTTCGGGGAGAAAAAACAAGAAAAGAGACAGACAAACAAGATTGTTGAGATACTTGGAGTGAAGCCATGGTGGTTGGATTCCGTACCATGGCGGGCAGATCAGAGTGTCAGACTTCCCGACTCCTTCGATTATTCTTTGCTTTTCACTATCGCTCTTTATTATTCCTTCCTCCCTGAGACTGAGATTAGTGAACCTTAACATTACAAGTTATTATTTGGGCATCTTGATTGTTTGTGTAAGATGTTAGAAGTAAAATCAGTCATGGCTACGGCTTCCCTGCAGCCATGCTCAACTTTGACACGATCAACACGTCTCGCCCTCAACTCATCAACTGTCAACAGAGCATCTAAGCGTCAGATGCTTCAGGCAATGGCAGTCTATCCCGGCGTTTATTCCAAGAGTAAATTGGTCGGAAAACCAGTCCACAGTGCGGGAAGGTGGTCAATGTCATTGGGCAAGGGCAACTACCCTGAAATTGAACCCAACCAACTTTCTCCGTCACATAGGATTGAGCAGTTCTACGCTTGCATAAACAATAAGAACAAAATGGAACTTGGAGACTTCATCTCAGACGATTGCTGCTTTGAAGATTATTCGTTTTTTAATCCATTTCGGGGAAGAAAGGTCGCTTTTCTTATCTCATGTTCCTTTATTCTCATTTTTATTTTGAACAGTAACGCATTAATTAATTATTCATTGTGTTAGGACACTAATTCATGCACAGACACGTTCATGGTTTACTGCAGGAGGTCATACATTTCTTAGAACAGCTGCTGGAATGCACCGGGAAGAACGTGAAATTTACAGTCGAAAGCGTATATGAGGGAGATCAATTCACAGTTGGCGTCATGTGGCACCTAGGTACTCTGAATTTCCATTATAAACTCCATTAAAATGGTCTGAGATACATGAGTATGGCAGGAATGTGACCCCATCTGCCAAGGTTCCTACCAGAATATCCCCAACCTGATAATAATAGTAGTCACTTCATTCTGGGATTTGTCTAGGCAAGCCGGCCCTCTTGCCATTTTCTTTTCTGTCGACCCAATTGTTTGATTGATTAACAACAGACTTCACGTGTGCTGCAGAATGGAAAGATAAATTCATACCTTTTACCAGAGGGAGCAGCTTCTACGAATGCTCAAAACAAGGACAAAGATTAGTGATCAAGTATTAATTAACCAACTATGGCACTCTGCAGCATTCTCACTCTCAAATATTGAGCTCACCAACTTTGTCAGATGTAGACTGATTAATTTGGTTGTAATGGTAACCATGTGCAGGAAAGCTCGAGTCATGATCGAGTCACCAATCAAGCCAGGCATGTTATCGCTGGTAAGTCCACCAGTCACTCTGTTCTACACCTTTCCCATTCCCATCACATTAATAGTGGCGTTAAATCCATCTGGGCTGGATAGCTGCATAGAAAGACAAAAGATCGTTATGTCACTATTTCTGTTTCTTCCGGCGTTGCTTCTGATGCGGATTTCTCTGCTGTGAATTTCAGACTCTGTTGAAGATGGTCAGAACCCTATTTGATGAATTCCCAAAGGCAGCTGAGGGTACGTTAACATCATTAAGATAAGAAAATTAAACCCAGTTCCATATTGGAGATGCGCTGAAACATTTATGATGGGTGGCTTCCACAGGTTTCCTACAGAAGCCCCAAGCTATAGTGCAGCTGCTATTAAAGATTTACATCATATTTCTGGAGCCTTTTGTCCACCCTATTTTGCAGTGCTACATCAACGTCTGGAAAATTGTAGCTCAACTCCTAAGTAACATATTTAACATTTTGCTCACAGTTTCAAAGATCATCTTCAAATAAGGAACAACAGGAGGTTTATTTGTGTGGGCATGATCACTGCACATCTCAGTCATCATTGCTGCAGGATACCATTTCGAGCAAAGAGAGAACAATGAAGGAGCTGCTCAGAAAATGTGGGAGTGGAGCTCTGTTGAAGGCGAAAATGGGCTCAGCTTGTCATTCATTGGTCTTGGACCTCCTGGCTACTCCTCCATCCACGGCATTATTGTTTCTATGCTTCTTTTTCTTTGATCTGAAGTTGCCATGATTCCTCAGTTTTAGACACGATGTAATTGTGATCATATAACTAAATATATTTAAATAAAGAAAGGACGTCCAGTTCCAGGTTCCGAGATCAACTTATGGATCCTTTAATTTCTTTCGAATTTCAATTTAATACCTACAACAGAGCATGGATCGATGAATGACAAAGTTTCACTCAAAATTCTAAGAAACCCAATTAAGCGACGCAAAGAATTTAATACCTTTGAAAACTCTGAGACATGAATTCTGATTCTGAAAGCAACTGACTGGAGAGACAGGGAGGAAACAAAGTTAGGAGGGAAGAGAAATAACGAACGAAGGTCAGCTTTTAAATATACCAAGGCCAAGGATGCGTGCTACGTACATTACATCAAACACTTTTCATCGATCTTTGAAATAAAAAGAAAGAAAAAACAGCCTATCAGACGGTTTTAGAATAAGGACAAACTTCGCTGTCCAGCTTACTAGGATGACAGAGCGATTCTTCATCTTTTTCACCCGAAAATCGTAGCTATGTTCCATTCAAGTTCTTGTTTGGTTATAGGGTTGTGGGCCTTGTGGCTTCGTTAGCTCGGGCAAGAGGAAATGCACGCACCCATTTCTTGAACAGGACAAACATGGCTTCTCTGCAACTGCTGATCAGTAACCCCGGTCCCTCTTCTTTCCATTCTTCCTTACTCTATACATTGACATCCCTCCACTCTTTCGACAGAAGAGCCGTAAAACCAATCAAACCTAATTACAAGAACTATAACACGACAATCCAATCGGTCATTCAATGGAATCGGAAACCCCAATTAGCCGGAGATACTCCCCGTGTTGTCGTCATCACCTCCGGAAAAGGCGGTGTCGGAAAAACCACCACCACCGCCAATTTGGGTCTCTCCCTCGCTCGTCTCGGCTTCTCCATTGTCGCCATTGACGCCGATGTTGGCCTCCGCAATCTCGACCTCCTTCTCGGCCTGGAAAACCGTGTCAATTACACTGCCATTGAGGTCCTCAATGGCGATTGCCGCCTCGACCAGGCTTTAGTCCGTGATAAGCGCTGGTCCAACTTCGAGCTTCTCTGTATCTCCAAGCCTCGGTCTAAGCTCCCAATGGGGTTCGGTGGGAAAGCCCTAATTTGGCTTGTCGATGCCTTAAAATCCCGCCCCGAAGGTTCTCCCGATTTCATTCTTATCGACTGTCCTGCAGGTATCGACGCTGGATTCATTACTGCTATTACTCCGGCGAACGAGGCTGTCCTCGTTACTACACCGGATATTACTAGCTTGAGGGACGCTGACAGGGTCACGGGTCTTCTCGAATGTGATGGAATCAAAGATATAAAGATGATTGTGAACCGAATACGGACAGATTTGATAAGAGGAGAGGATATGATGTCAGTTCTTGACGTTCAGGAAATGCTGGGATTGGCGCTGTTAGGGGTGATTCCAGAGGATTCAGAGGTGATTCGTAGTGCAAATCGAGGGTATCCTCTTGTTTTAAATAATCCGCCAACGTTGGCAGGATTGGCATTTGAGCAGGCAGCATGGAGGCTTGTTGAGAAGGATAGCATGAAGGCAGTGATGGTTGAAGAGGAGCCAAAGAAGCGCGGACTCTTCTCATTTTTTGGACGCTAGGAAGCCGAATTTCATACGTTTGCTGAACAAACAAGGTTTTTTTTTTTTTATTTAATTCATTGGATCACAGTGATTTGGGGATACCCAGTGTTGTGGTGCAAGTAATTCGCTTTGGTTTTTAGGAACACCTATTTGTTGTTCAATGAGCTGGAGAAGTCGGAGGCTTTGTACAGAGAGTATGTATACTGATTTTTTTCCTTCATTTTAATTATCTATATTTCTTAATTTTTGATGGTTAGCGATCTAGCATTATTTTCAATGTAACGAATGCAATTTGATCTGCAGCTCAGCTTGCTTGTATGTCTGTCATTTTGGTTAAACTTTGCTTGGTTTGATATGTATATAAGAACAGAATGTCATAGCAGAGACTTTTTTTCCTATTCTATTTTGATTTCCCTCTGAATGTGGTAGGTAGAATGGAAAGTTAGGCCTGTGTGTGGACATGTTTTCAGAAAATTAAATTTGATGAATTTTTTGATTCTAATAATCGCGTTTGGGTTTGGATTTGTGAAATTGTTGGAACTATTTTTTTTTCTAGGCTCAAAACTCATTCTAAGTTTGATGCTGAAAATTTTAATTTCAAAAAAGAATCATTTTTGGCTTAGAACTCATTCTTGAAATTGTGATTCTTTGGAGCAGAATTTTAGCCAAACATAGCCTAGATTGCTGACTTCCCTTTTATTTCATGGCACCATCAAGGTAGTATTACTATTTGATGCAAAATCAGGAAAGGTACAGCTAAAATCATGGTGATGCTGCTTATTACCTCTTCAGGGGATTTGGATATTGTAAAAGGAAAGAAAAGAAGATCATTTGCACCAATTAGATTATTGGTGTTATCAGTGGCAGAGCCAAGAATTTTCTCTTGGGGGGGCCAAGTTAAACAAGAAAATGAGGTGGGAATAGAAGAGGTAGGCTGTGTAGGGAAATGGGGTGGGAAAGGTTTGGGTATATTATAGATTTTTTAAAGAAAAATAAACAAAGTTTTTAATTTTGGGAGTTGGAAGAGGATTAAAGAATGATCCTTTAACATTTTTGTTCATGTTTTGGGGGGGCCAAGGACCTACTTTATTATATTTTTGACCTTATCTCTACTTAGTAACTATATATAAACATTGACCTAATAAAAAGCTTGGGGGGGGGGCAAGGACCCCCCACCAATATACTTGGCTCCGCCCCTGGGTGTTATCTTTCTCCTTGTGTTTGAATTTGGTTTGACATACAAGTTTGCTTCTGTCTAAACTTAAAGTATGCATGTTTCCAACATGCATGGATATACACAAAAGGTAAAAAAGAGAAGAGTTAATATTTTGAAGAATTGTTAATTTGTCACTTCATGTTTAAGCTATGAGCATTTTACTTTAGTATGTCAGATATTTTTAGGTTAGGTATTTTAATTGATTAAGTCTATTTTTTGAAAAAAGCAAGATATAGTTGTATTAATTTAAAGCAAAATATCAGGGACTGTACAATGTGACTCTGTACAAATCCACATGAAACCAGATATCCTCAAATAAGTTAAACATACAAAAAAGAGGAGGAAAAAAATTCTCCCTAAAATGAAATGTTGATAGACATTGCGTTACACACGTATCTTCATGCTTAGGCATTCCACATAAATGTATGAGATCCATTCTTTTATAGTTTTATTTGTTTGAGCCTATTTATGTATTCCACTACAGGCAGTCAATTGAGATTCTCTTTTCCTCTCTAGTTATTTTTTCTCAAGTAGGAAAATAATGGTTGCAGTTTTTTCTTTAGGCAAACTTTTTGTCTATTTATTTATTTACTTTTTTGGGGGGTTGGGGTTGTGAATACAGGATTCTATTCAAGGTCAGTAGGAACTACATCACTGATTTTATCAGTTAAACCAGATGGCACCATCAAATAGTGGTTGAAGTTGATATCACAAAGGTAGCATTGAAAAACTTAATAGAATTTCAAACTGTTTGTCTCTAATTGTAACCAAAGTGATTATTTGTTACTACTAATTTTTTGGGAGAGCCAACTTAACTATTTTAGTTTTTTTACTTTATCTCATGTATCTTTTTCCTTTTACAACTAGAAAGATTGGAGGGATGATCTTAGGAGATTGTCTTTTGGAATACATTCTTAAGTTGGAGGCAAACTCTTACAGGATTTCTTTTTTTCTTTTTGCTGAAACCAGAGAAACAAATTTTTCTGACACAAAAATGGATTATAAGTCTTGTCTTTTAATTCCTTTCATTTAAACAATCTAAGCACAGTAGTAGGGAGTTGGCATCAATGAGGAATCAGTCCCTGCCATAAGCAAAGTGCAAATAACTAACTGTGAGAATAATTTATTGGGTCTAGCTATCCCAATTTTATTAGTTGCATGTCTTGTTCTTATCCTCCAAGTTATTCCTCCTAAAGAGTGTAATCATTTTCTTGAAGGTAATGTTTGGGTGCATATTGCTGAAGAATTATAGTGTGGAGGGTGTGAGCATCATAACCCATGTACAATGAGGTTCTGTACAAGAGGGTAGGTTGTACAAAAACCAGTGGCCATCTACTAGTGCGAGCCAAAAAGCAACTCAAGATTAAAAGAAGGGGCTAGGGTGCCTTCTCTCAATTGCTTCTGTACTGATAACCATACTCTAAGAGAACACAGCTTTTCTTAGAAGCAGCTCACCAGAAATGATTTTTTTCTAGAAAATGTAGGTAGATTCATATCTCATTAACCCTTCATATTGATGCAAAACAGTATAGGTATTCTACAGGTCTGTGGATCCTAAAGTGATAGAATTGGGAAAGTGAACATTTTTAGACACTAAACTCAGTATTGTCAATGTGGTAAAGTAATGACTAGTTGTTTTGGCCTCTCTAGTTGGTTGCCTAGGCACTAACTAGTTAATAAAAGGAGGATATCTTCTCATAAAGTTAATTAAAATACAATTATGCAAGAAAAGAATGACATTGAACATTTAGTTTACAGTCTGTGCTTTGCAAACGAAGAGATAAGTTCAGCTGGATAGGCTATGATAGAGTCTCATAGCTTTTGTTTTCCAAAGAAAGTGCAACCTTGACTATTAGATGTACCCTCTTTTATGACAATTCCATACCAATACACCACTAATTGGAAGAAACCTTAAAAGAACTCCATTGTCTTCTTTTGTTTTATGTTTTTTTTTTCTATTTTTTTGATAGATAAAAATTCAATTGATTTCATTAGAAGCAGATGATAAATGGTCCGTTACAAGCATCCCAATATGAGGCGCGAGGTGCAGCCTCATTATACAGAAACATCATAAAGTTACAAGTGGGCCCAGTACAACTGATCCGTAGTTACTCCTTGTTTAGCTAGAGAATCAGCAAAAGCATTTGCCTCCCCACCCATTGTATAGTTACATCCATCTGCTGAGTTATCCATTTGAATTTCTTCATTTCATTTCTGTAAGCCCAAATCACTGAATCTGGGTTTTTTAGCCAACCCACTGGTACCTTGGAGTCCCCTTCTATCACCAAATTTTCCAATCCTAACTCTCTTGCAATCTGTACGCCTTGTAGGGCTGCGCACAATTCTGCCTTTAAGGAGTCTCCATTCCCCCACTGGTCCTGAGAAGAGTGCTCTTAAATTTCCTTCCTTGTCTCTGATGACCCCTCCTATTCCAGCTGGGTTTGGGTTGCCTTGACTACTCCCATCGAAGTTTAGTTTAAGAAATCCTTCAATGGGAGGAGTCCAAGCCAACCTTGCCTTAACCTTCTGCACTGAGCTAGAAGCCACTAAAGGCCAATTCCTCCAAATATCATCAAATGTGAAATTTTTGAATAGTTCCAACATTTGTAGCCAGTGTATAACCCTAGTCATTACACACTCCATAATTTGTGGTTTGCTCCTTTCTTTCTCTTGGAAGGTTCTGGCATTTCTCTCTTCCCACAAGGTCCACACCACTGCTGCTCTAGTGTACCTCCACATTACTCTTCCCCTCTTCTTTGGTAAAGCAAAGGTAGATGGGTCAAACAGAATTTTTATCTCCGTTGGCATATTCCGCTTGCACCCAAACAAATAGAGAAACCAATCCCATATATCTGTAGCAAATGAACAGGAAATTAGTAAATGGTAACAAGATTCACCATCAGATTTGCATAGAGTGCACCAATTCAGGGAAATACACAAAAAAGACCTCTTCTTTTGCAAATAATCCGAAGTGTTAATTTTCCCAAGAGCCACTTCCCAACAGAAAGCCTGAATTTTAGGGGGAATCAGCTAAAACCACACTTCTTTCCAAGGAAAGGATAGAGAGGAAAGGGATTGACAAAGAGCTTTAAAAAAGGAGGCACAAGAAAAGGAACCTTTAGAGCTTGGGAACCAAATTCTTCTATCTGGACAAGAAAACTCTAAGAAAACACTATCAAGAAGAGGGAGAAGCTCTGACAGACAAGTTGCTTCCTCATCCCTCAAACCCCTCCGAAATCCGAGATCCCAATTAAGACTCAAAGGCAAAGAAGGAAGAACCAAAAAATTTGAAATGACCTTATTTTTATACAACGAAATAGAATACAAAGAAGGAAACACCTCCTTTAAAGGCCGGCTACCAAGCCAAGTGTCTTCCCAGAATCGAATTAAATTCCCTGAGCCAACATCATACCTGATGTACCTGAGAAACTGAGGGAGGAGGCTATGAATTGCTTTCCAAGGTGCTTCCAAGGTAGCCTTACGTGATACACCAACGTCCTTGCCATTCTCCAATCTACCATGTATAATTGCCACTACTTCAACCCACAAATTTTCTCTCTCAAGAGGCCATCTCCATAACCATTTCCCTAATAGAGCTGTATTCTTCTTCCTTACTATTAGTGGTGTTAGTGAAGGGGTATTTCGGTCTTTGTACTTGTTGAGAATGTTGATGTGTACTGTTATGTTAGTTCGAGTGCCTCTTACTTAAAGAAGGGCACTTAAGTCTTTTCCAATAAGTTAATAATATAATAACAGGTCTGGCCAAATCTAGGGATAACTTTTTTTCTCTAATTCGAACCAGCCTTTCTCTCTTTCCACTCTTTTCTCTCTTCCTCTTTCCTCTCCTACTTCTTGCTGTTTACTTTACAGTCAACGAACAAGACAAAATTCTAGGGCAGGTCAAACTTTAACATGGTATCAGAGCAAGGTTCAACAAATCAGACTTGCTAGAATTCTGTCTTCTGCGCATTCGAATTAGGGTTTCTCTTGGGTTCTCAGCTGTGAGTTGGAGACTGGGAAAAGGGCTGAAAAGGAGTGATCGCCCTCTTCCCTAGGAGG